CGCGGCGCGACTGTACATAGACTACGTACACAGACAGCTACATCACAGCGGCGTAGAAGCGACGATCAACGAATGTCGACAGCAACTATGGATTTTACGCCTACGACCGACAGCAAGAAAGGTCATACACAGCTGCATACCGTGCCGCATAAGAAGAAACACGCCGCCCGCGCCGAGCACCGGTAATCACCCATACACCCGGCTCGCACACCACCAACGTCCGTTCACCTACTGTGGGCTCGACTACTTTGGCCCACTAACGGTGACAGTGGGTCGTGCGACACAGAAGAGATACGTCGCGCTGTTCACCTGCCTCACCACAAGGGCGGTGCACCTAGAGATAGCGGCGTCACTCACCACCGATTCCGCAGTGATGGCACTACGACGGATGATCGCGCGCCGCGGCTGCCCAGCTGAAGTTTGGTCTGACAATGGAACAAACCTGCAAGGGGCCGCTAAAGAGTTACGGCAACAGATCGACGCAGCAACGCAAGAAGAAGCAAGTAAGAAGACAATCGAATGGAGGTTCATACCCCCCTCCGCACCCTTCATGGGGGGGGCATGGGAGAGACTCGTACGCAGCGTAAAAGAAGCACTCGCAACCACTCTGCATCAACGGCACCCACAGGAAGAAGTACTGCACACACTGCTCGCCGAAGTAGAGTACACAGTCAACAGCCGGCCACTCACACATGTGCCGGTGAGCCCAGACGACGAAGAAGCGCTAACACCGAACCACTTTCTCCTCGGCGGCTCAGCACGCGTGCCGCCACTCGGGAAGTTTTCCGAGACCGACCTCCTCGGGCGCACACACTGGCGCGCCTCGCAACAGCTCGCCAACGCATTCTGGAACAGATGGATACGGGAGTACCTGCCGGAACTTCAAAACCGGCGGGAGCCCCGTGGAAGGGGACCGAACGTCAAGACAGGCGACGTCGTCCTTATCGCCGACGGGACGCTGCCACGCAACCTGTGGCCCCGGGGACTCATAACACACACGTACCCGGGGCCAGACGGCGTCACACGGGTGGTCGACGTGCGCACCAAAGGCGGCACACTCAGAAGACCGGTGAAAAAGCTCATCGTGCTACCGACGGGACAGCCCACTACAGAACCAGGATACCAAGACGGCGTGAAGAAGCTCATCGTGCTACCGACGGGACAGCCCACTACAGAACCAGGATACCAAGACGGCGGCCTTCGTGAAGAAACTGGATGCGACGCCCGGCAAGCGGACGACGCACGGCGGGAGAGATGTACAGAACAGACGCCGCCCTAATTTAATAATTTAATAATCTTGTGTTGTAAATAGTAGTCATAGTTAGTTATAAGTGAAATGTAAATTTATTGTTATTTTAATAAAAGAGTTGCGCAACATTCATTTCACGATAGGTAGGTACACACATTCAGTAACACAACGCTGTGCGAGACAGCACTATAGTCTCTCTCGCACAGCGCTAGGATAGGCCCACGGCCGCTATAACGTCGCACAAAGCGAGAATAGAAATAACACCGTGAGAGAGACAGCATTATAGGCTGTCCCTCTCACATTGCTCCGATAGGCGCACTAGCGCAGCGATATAGCGCTAAGTGCGAACACTTGTGGCCTACATAGGTAGTGACCAAAATAGCCTCGACCTCTTTCATCTTTATCTTTCATCTTACACCACTGCACATGCAACAAGCAACAAGCAACAAGCGCACTCAAGCTAAGAAAAGGGATTTCATTGAAGCTGCCAGCCCCATAGGCATCCGCACCCCATCCGCACCGTTTCGAACGGTTACAGGGAAGAGCGCCACAGACGCCGTTCGAAACAATATTAATTTAGAGAATCGATAAATCGTGTCACAATATTATTGTACAAAGAAAGCCAGATGCATGTTGTTTCACAAAAATGTTTGTATGTTTATGTTTTTATTTATTTTTAAGCATTTAACTGCTAGATGTTTAAATCTAAAGAAAAGTTTACTAGAAAAAAAATCCACGCGGACCAGGCAGCGGACGGGACTCGAACCCGCACCCTTCGCATACCGGGCGAATGCACTGACCATTATAATTAAATTTCGACGCGGCCAATAGGGCCGTGGTAGCATAATGGTCAGTGCATTCGCCCGGATTGCGAAGGGTGCGGGTTCGAGTCCCGTCCGCTGCCTGATCCGCGTGGATTTTTTTTTCTAGTAAATTTTTCTTTAGATGTTTTTTTTTTAAATAGACGAATTAATGAATATAAATATTTTTTTGATTCTATGATAAATTGCAAATCAATCGTAACACAAATCACGCAGTGAAATAAAACAATATTGATATTGGTTGAAGTAGATTGTTGGTACACACTTGAGGAAGACGATGAACCATGATTGACTCGCTTGTTTTTATTTATTTTTATTTAGGACACTGACATTTTATCATTGTGGTAAGTGTCGATAGCGCTTCGATTGATTGTTGTGATCTTGTTTTCCATTTTTACTAAGATTCAGTAAGTAAAGCGACCATAAATAAAACGTGCCGCGAAAGCGTAATTGGCTGTCACAACGAATCTTGTGACTCCAACACGTACGGCCGGTAATTTTTCGATCGGTAGTTGTAATCGATGCACTTGCAGTTTACCATACTAGGTTATTTTAGATAAAGGAAAAACTTATATACATGAATTTACTTATAACGTGAGATAAGCCCTTTAGTCAGTTGGTAAACATTAAGTTAAAACTTGGACCTTCTCTGACGACTGAAGCTGTTCAAGTTCTCCATGTTAAGACAGCTTTAGGTCAAGTTACCTAATACTGGCAAATATCTCCAACTGATTTCGAACTTTTTTATTTTAATGGATCAAGAAAATTGGTCATTTTGTTTGTTGTAAGTTGAAGTGTGGCTGACTATAATCATAATCATTTATTCAGTTTAGGCTGTTACAAGCACTCATGAATGTCTAGAAGCTACGCCATCGGTTCGTAAATCTACGGCGGGAGACATTGTACTGAGAAGAATCGGCAAGAAACTCAGCAAGGGCTGTTTTTTTTTCTCCCGGTTTTATTTTTACAGAGTCGTCAAATTGAAAAATGACTTCAGAGATGATTCATGAAGTCACCTTTTATTACATAACTAGTGGCCCGCCCTCGCTTCGCTTCGGTGTAGAGCTGTAGTGTAAACTATAGTTTTTGTTCTCAGGCTTGTGCTATAAAGAATGACTTTATTTATATAATTACACGTGTTATTGTGAGTCAACCATAAAAGATAGACATATGCTGTTGCGGGATATTTTTTAGACAATTTGATGTAGAATATTTCCGTCATACATGATTTATGTAACTTTAACTATTAAGGCTGCACCCGCGACGGAAGCTTAAAAAATGAAGTAACTTCTCCCGTTTTCCCAACATTTCCCTTCACTACTCTGCTGCTATTGATTGTAGCGTGATGAAAAGTATACTATAATCTGCCCAGGAGTATGAAGAATAATTGTACCAAGTTTCGTTAAAATCCGTTGAGTAGTTTTTGTTTCTATAAGGAACATACACACACAGAGACAGACAGACAAAAATTTTACTGATTGCATTTATGGCATCAGTATCGATCACTAATCACCCCCTGATAGTTATTTTAAAAATATATTTCATGTACAGAATTGACATCTCTACAGATTTATTATAAGTATAGATTATTAAATATACATTAATTGTTTACCTGCATTTTGATTGCTGTGTCATACAGTACCTATAAATACAAAAATATACCATACTATACCTTTTAGTGATAGAACAATAATTAACACGATTTAAATGTTAAAGGTAGGAAACGCAGAACGCAGAAACCTCTTTCAATGTTCTGTGGCTAGAAAAAAGGAAAATAAACTGTGCTGGGAAAAAAAAGGTTTATTAAAAAAAGTTTTTAATAAGTATGTTTGAATTGGAATATGAGGAGCTCGATGGCGCTAGTGGTTAGCGCGTTCCGCTGCGATCATCGAAATTAAGCAACTTTCGCAGTGCTCGGTCATTGGATGGGTGACCAAAAATTTAGTATCTCGAGCTCCTCAGTGCTTCGGAAGGCACGTTAAGCCGTTGGCCCCGGCTGCATCTGCAGTCGTTAGCACCCACCAATCCGCACTGGGCCCGCGTGGTTGGTCATGGCCGTATCTCCCTATTCCATCCATAGGGAACGCCTGTGCCCCAGCAGTGGGGACATTAATAGGCTGATGATGATTCTGTTGGTGAATAAGGTTTTAGGGCTCCACGGGGACGCGGATTGGGTTCAGGCTAGCAAGGTGAGAATGGCTGGAACGGCACACTTTCCTTTCGCATCAGTTATCTTCAGACTTCACTAGTCCCCACTCACACTTAAATATCTGGCTGGGGAGGGGAAATTTTCTGCGACTTGTATTAAAAAAATAACAAAATATATCTCACTGACTATTAGATGCTAACGCATATATCTTTGGGAGCAGTGCAGCATTGGGGACATTAAGGCGTTTAGCAGACGACGGGGCGGGGCGGGCCGGTCAATTTCGCCGCGAATAATAGCTTGGGTGCCCGGCGGGCAGTGGCGGCGCGGCATGTCCGCGGCTGCCCGCCGTGGATCATACAAACCAGTTTATATGCAGTAACGCAGACGGCGGCGCGGGGCGGCTAGCTCACTCCGCACCACGCGCTTTTTCTATTCACTAGAACGAACGTCCCGTACTGACCGCCTCTGCCCGTCGTGTGCTTTGTGTACGCGGCGCGGGCAGCCGCAGACATCGACGGGCAGACGCGGTCTTTATTGCTTCGCGGACAAAAAGCCCGCCCCGCCTAGTCGTCTGCTCAACGCCTAAGGCGTTGGTGCCCGCCGGGCACCTGCGGCGCGGTCTTTTTGCCCTCTGTGTGCGTTTGAAGTATAGGATTCACTTTGTGCTATTATTCGCGGCGAAATTGACCGGCCCGCCCCGCCCCGTCGTCTGCAAAGTGCCTAATAGGCTGATGAAGATGATGATGTTTGAATTAAGTATAATTTTCATTTAATTTCAAAGGTACTGAGTCGTTCAGAATGCGTCTAATAATCCTGGAGGATGCAGACGTGGTGGCGGATTGGGCGGCGCGGTTTGTGATGCAGCGCGTGACGCAGTTCGCGCCCGGCCCTCAGCGCCGCTTCGTGCTGGGCCTGCCCACTGGAGGCACGCCCCTCGGCATGTACCGCAAGCTCATACAGTTCTACAAGGAGGGCAAGATCTCCTTCAAATACGTCACCACCTTCAACATGGACGAATACGTAGGTCTGTCATACATTCAAATTCAAATCATCTTTATTGCGAATACAGGTTGCAAAGTTCTTACATAGATAGATACATTTTAATACAGTACAGCCATATTCTGCCGATAAAACATTAATTATTTCAATGTCACATTAACAAATTTAACATAGTTAATTCAAAATGTCAATAAGCGATAAATATATGATTGAAATTATTTCATGCATGTCATTTTCTTTATTAGTCTAAAAACTTTTGTCTTCCAAAAATTCACGGACCGCATAGTAACATTTTTCTATTAAAAAATGTTGTAATTTGTTTTTAAATATATTGGTCACGGTAATTTCTCGCACACTTTCAGCATTGCAAAACACACTTTTCCTAAATAGTTCATTTACTTCAGTGGTGAGTTTGACGACCTCCGTGGCCGAGTGGTTTGTACGCCGGGTTTCATGGTGTCGCCGACTCGAGAGGTCCCGGGTTCAAATCCCAGTGGGTGCAGATGTTAGTGTGATGAATACGAGCATTTGTACTCCAGTCATGGATGTTTAATGTGTACTTCTTTTTTAAAAAAATACACTATGTATTCTATACGTTACCCTAGTATCCCATAACACAAGCCTTATAGTGCTTACTTTGGGGCTAGGCTAATTGGTGTGAGTGTTGGAAATATTTATTTATTTATGTACGTTTGTACCATTATCTTCAATATTTATAAGTAGGGATACCTAGCTAAAGGCCCGTGATCTAATGATAGTGGTTAAATGGATTACTATGGACAAAAAATTGTTCCTATAATATCTATTTTGACAATTTGTAATTATCATTATAAATTCTCAAAGTACTTAACTCCTCGCAATTGTTTGTTAGAAAACTTTTTGGAGTTTACTCCTTAAGAATCGATTTGCATATATAAGGGGCCCGGTATGAGAAAAATGTGAGGAGTAAAATCTATCGATGAATGACCTCGTTACGTTTTTGGTGCGCATCCTATGTCGCGCAACTTTGACAAACAAAGATGACGGATTAAAATTAATAAAAATTTTAAAATCGGAACTGAATTTAGATATTGTTTCTGATAGAGCAATGGGGACAACGAGGTATGGTACAACCATTGATGCGGTATTTTCAAGATTCGTGAACCACGTATCTACGAACGTCCATGTGTCTTATTTTAGGTACCAAAACCACTTGTCACTGTAATTAATAATGCAGACAATGTTGATTTAATTAATATTTAAAAAAATGATAATAGTCTGATAATAATAATTACATGATTTATCAACATTCCTAATGATATATTTATGCACATCTGAAATTGACTATTGTAAAAAGTTTAATGTAAAATATTTCGTCGATTAGTTATAATAAATGTATATGAAATGAATAAATATATATTTATATATGTATATTATTTTCATTAATTTGTTAATTTACCCTTTCATACAGTATCAATCTTTTTTAAGTTAAATAAAATCTTTTTGCGTCTGGTTAGACTATCGAACTTAAGGAGTAAACTCCAGTCGTGCGTCGGAGCTGACACACACAATTTATTTTTTATTTTTTGTTACATTATGTATTATTAAGTCAAATGTATGCTAGAAACTGGTACAGGCAGCATTTCCTACAACCAGATAGACCATGAAAACTGGTCGAATAGGTGCAGCCGCGACCAACGGCTTAACTTAACATGCCTTCCTAAACGAAACACGTTGGAGCTGGAATACTTAGTTAGTCATCCATCAGCGTAGTTTTAACGGGCACCACACTGGTGGGATATACCCTCACCGGAAAAATCATCGAAAACAATTCATCGAATTACAATTCTTCGAACACAATTCATCGAAAAAATAATTCGTCGAACAACAATTCTTCGAACGGTAATTCCCCGAAAAACAATTCGTCGAAAACATTAATTTATTTATTTTTTAGGACGGCACATCGAGGGTCATTGATAAGATAGAGATAATATAAGACATCGACGGGCAGACGCGGTTTTTATTGCTTCGCGGACAAAAAGCCCGCCCCACGCCGTCGTCTGCAAAGCGGCGAGGGCAGCCGCAGACATCGACGGCAGACGCGGTTTTTATTGCTTCGCGGACAAAAAGCCCGCCCCGCCCCGTCGTCTGCAAAGCGCCCAATGTGTCCAATAGGTCCCGGAAGTGTAAGGACACTCCCGGGGCCTATTGGACACTATTAGCTGTTTTATACCGGACACTTGGCCGGTATAAATTGTCGTCTTGGTCTAGCAATGCATCAGTAAAAATGACAAGTATATCCCGATTTGCGGAAAATTGATCGAAAACAATTCATCGAATTACAATTCTTCGAACACAATTCATCGAAAAAACAATTCGTCGAAAAACAATTCTTCGAACGGTAATTCCAAAAAAAAAATGAAAATTTAGCAGGAGGGAGGCTAAAACGAGGTGGGGAAAGGGGAAAAAGTATGAAAAAAAAAACGTTGCACGTACAAAAGTGTCGTTTCTGGCGCTTCAGCGGCCGCTGCCGCGGCACGCTCGCTCCGCTCGCTCGGCTCGCGCGTTTTTGGTCATCATACTAACCTAACCTAACCTAATGAACTCTTTAGACTTTATTCATTGCGGGGGGCTTCGCCCCCCGAGCCCCCCTTGCGGGGGCTGCGCCCCCCCGCCCCACTTCGGTTCTGTCACTAATAATATGAAATATAAAAGCATGAAATTCTACACATTAATTTATTTTGTATACATGTTTTATGGCATTAATTGTTTCTAAAAACGCGTCTTTTTTATATTTAATTATGTTTCTGCGCCACAAATATTCTACAATCGAATCTGCAAAATCGTGCGGATGGTTATAATTATCTTTTCTGAAATATCTTTTGACAGCCCTCCACTGGGACTCGATCCTCTGCGTGTGAGTACCGTCTGGGGCAATAAATGGGTTGTCTGGATCAGAATGGTTTACTTTTTTGTGGATAAATCCATGTTGCCCCAGACAATCATATGCTCGCCAGTAGTCCGTATGAATTGTGGTACCCGGTTTGACATGTTTTTTGATGAGTGGCACCAGCACCTCTGCGGATCTTATATTATCTGGGCACACCTCCAACCGCAGATCCTCAGACTCGTCTTCAATCATACCGAGGACCCAATGACCCTCGATGTGCCGTCCTAAAAAATATAAAAATAAACCTAATTATAATTTGTGACTCGGATTTTAGTCACTTCCATGGACGAATGTCACGATTACTTTTTACTTAGAAAATAACGTGCGTGTAACCGAATTTATGTGAGCATTGACAAGCTGTCACCTGTCATAACCATAGTGAGATGTCAATGTCTTACCGGTTGCAATACGTTTGTCGTAAAAAAACAATTAGATTACTTACTTATAACTCGTCAAGCATACGTGGTCACTACTGTGGCTCGTTTGCCAAATAAGTATTATTATTTAATTTACATTATGTTTTGCTGTTTTGTATGTTTGATGGTCTAATTACGATTGCCGAAATAGTATGCAAAGATGAGATTTATTTGGCTACTTTTCCATTATTAACCCTCAAAATGTCCTTTCCATGGATGTCACTCCCATGGATTACGTGGATATTTTTTCTCCATGGAAGTGACCACAGCTCCAGGGATGTGAACTTTAACTTGGATCATTATCTTTTTAAAAATGCAAATCATTTTTTCTGAAAATAATGCTGTAAATATGCGAATGAGATTCAGTGAGTCCATTTTGGTGCATCCAAACAGCAAGTCAGTCTTCATACTGGTGTTTATTACTACAGATGATCAGATACGCAAAACATGAATAGTTGTTCATTTTGCATATTTTCTGAGTATTTGCACCATGATGCTTGTGCAATATGAGCTCATCTTCAAAAAATGCTAGATCTAATTGTATCCTCACGCACAATTCAGAAATTGCATATTTTAAGCGATGGTCCTCTATCTGTATACTCAATACTTGATAAAAAGATACACTTTTAAAACTGCGACGTGGAACTTCTGTGAAGCAGGCCATGGCAAAGGGCCTATGGATGGAGTGGGCGCGGTAATAAAGCGTACTGCAGATTGTATTGTTGGTCAACGGTCAGATATACCTGATTTAAATATTACCAAAATATTAAAGAGAACACTACCAATGTCAAAATTTCCACCGTAACTACAAAACAAATCGAAGAAATTAATAAGCTATTGCATAGAAATATCAATAGTGTTCCTGGAATCACAAAAACTCATCAAATGATATAGGAATCGAGCATTGCGCATTTTTTTTTTTAGGAAACTTAACATTCCTCACTTGCTCCTCTGGAGAACGGTGTCTACACTACTCGTTGTCCAACAGTTATGTGAAATTTTCTAACCCATTGCGGCAGGAAGAAATATATAAAAGAGATAGCCAAGAACAAGAGAGAAACGGAAGATCTGGTGAATGTGGTACTTTACAGTGAGACGGAAGAACAGGAAGACAAGGAACTGGATAGTTAGACTGCAGAGCAGAAGGATAAGGACCTATACAGTGAGGCTAAAGAAGTAGAGAATAGGGAACTTGACGGTGCTAGTGAAGAATAAGAAGATAATGAGCTTAATAGTGAGGGTAAGGAACTGGATAGTGAGACCGAAAAACGAGAGTATGAGGAACTAGACTTAACTAGTGAGATCAAAGAATTGGAAGATAGAAAACTCGATGATCAGATTGAAGAACAGGAAGATAACGAACTTGATGGTGGGACTGAAGAACAGGAGGGTAAGGGACGGGATACTAAGGCTGGAAAGAGAAGGATGAGGATATATGACAGTGAGAGCGATGACGATCTCGACATATTTTTATTAAGAAATATTTTTAAAGTCATAAAATAATTGAAACTTTTTTAAAATATAATAAGTATTAAGATATAATTGAGACTGCAGTGAGAATGTGTCATAAGTCCAATTTTTTGTTGATATCTTTAGCAGTTACATCTAAAAATTAATGACTTGTTAATTATTTTATTACAAAATATTTTTGATACCATAATCCTAAGATAAAAGATGTGATTGAGGTTAAAATTAAAAATTCTTAGCAATTAAAAGCTTGTTTTCCAAACATTTGTTTTTTTCAATAAATCCAATAGACGTCATAATTTCCTTGGATAAAATAATTTATGACCTCTTTATATCAAATTATGCATACAGTGTCACGTCTATGAGGCGGTGAAATCATTTCCATGGTTAAAAACAGTATGGAAAGTCACTTCCCTGGATTCAGTGTCACTACCATGGACGATCATAATTTTATGTGGGTTTTCTAGTAAAACTAATGAACTGTAAGCTCGGTGCATATTTTTTATAGTAGATAATGACCTAATTAATTGATATTAACAGCTATTTTAAGTAAAGTTGATCAAAATATTTTTTTATGTTTTCTTCATCAGAAGTAAAAAATACCCGTATAGGATTCACTTTGTGTTATCGTTCGCGGCGAAATTGAACGGCCCGCTCCGCCCCGCCGCGCGCCGTCTGCAAAGCGCCTAATTGTGTTAATGTTGTATTGGTGTGTTGCATCAGGCCTGCCGCGCGACCACCCGGAGTCGTACCACTACTACATGTGGAATGAGTTCTTCAAGCACGTGGACATCGACCCCGCGCAGGCGCACGTGCTGGACGGCAACGCGCCCGACCTCGTGGCGGAGTGCGCGCGCTTCGAGAGACTCATACAAGACGCGGGCGGTGTGCATCTCTTCATAGGAGGTCATATCATCATCCCGTACTCTCTATATCAGTGTTTCCTAACCTTTCCAATTCCAACACTACTTGCCCTGTAACCTATTAGGAAAACAGATTTTACCCCGACTTTACAATGTTATCATCAGTCCAAGAAATTCCAATTTGATCGCTACATGTTTGTCTCAAATAATGTCATCATCAGGAGAAAAACTCCCCGCTTACCACACTCAGCACCCAGCGGGCTCGCTAGCAAGAAGGAGCGCGTGCTCTATTCAGTATTTTCTTATTATTTAGATTTGACCAAATAATTAGGTTCTTTGTTACCCCCGAAGTATGGCTGATTTACTCCCGGAGGGGTAATTACCCCCAGGTTCAGAACCCAGGCTCTATATAGATGCACAGGCGTTTATCTTAATCGCCAATGCACCTGGGGATCTATCACATAACTACCACGAGACTGTTAAATTTTGGACATTTTCCTACTTATCAAGTTGTTTAACTTCCATGACCGTACATTGATCGTACTAACTAATACTTGCTCATCAAGTTCGTCCTACACATATTGCTTAAATAAATAACAATCCAATGTACCCTCAAGGCGAATCGATATCGAATTCGAATAGTGAGCGAGTGCAAAATTTCATTGTCAGTATTATATTTTGTATGGAATCTTAAACAGCACCGCCATAACGAACGCAACGAAAACTAAAAACAAGTACACATTTGTCAATGACATTTCGGACTCGCAAACTATTAGAATTCTATATCGGTTCGTGCTATGGGTACTGTACCCCAAGCATGAACAACAAGAAAGTATTCAAAGTTGCTATTTAAAAAAGACAATTTGTTCTTACGCTTTTTTGCTGATAGTTTCCATAGAAACTGACGTTGATACGGATCGGTCAAGGTTCGTGCTTGCTTGGTATAGTGATGGATATGGTGATGGTGTGGATTCTGGTATGGTTTTCTAGACCTGAACTTGGTTTTGCAGCGGTGTATCCTTGTCATTCTCTATACAGACAGAAAAGGGGGGACTGATGTTGGATTTGGTTTTGGGTTGGGAGAGTAGTGCCAGAATCGACAACAGTGTTTGGGTAATCACATGCATGTGTCCTGCCGTTGTATTTATAGTTTGTTATAATAATTATAATTTTTATTATTTTTAAAGCATGTAACTGCTTGATGTTTAAATCTAAAGAAAATATAACTAGAAAAAAAATTTTCTAGTTATATTTTGTTATAATAATGTTCTCTGCTACTTATATATTTTTTTTCTATTTTTGTAACATAGTATCCATGTGTGGTTATGAGTAGTCATGCTCTCTTAAAAATCTCTTCGGTGGTGTCGTGTGAGGCGGGTCGTTGCGTTCTCTAAAAAATGGTTGAGCGAAGCGATGGCTGGTTCATGCGTCATGCTCGTGAACGGGTGCTGCCAGCGGAGATGAGTCTGCTCTTCCTTCATTGGATACTTTTAATCGCTGTACTAAACTTTAATCGTTCATTTTTTTTGCCTGAACAGCAGGACACGGCATTCCTAAACTTTGTTAAACCAGTTTTTTATATAGTCATAATTTTTATAATATTTGCATTTGTAATGGAAAGTGACTACGAGTTACCTCATATTGAAGTCATTTTTCAATTTGACGACTCTGTATATAATACAGGGAGAAAAAAACAGCCCTTGCTGAGTTTCTTGCCGGTTCTTCTCAGTACAAGGTCTCCCGCCGTAGATTTGCGAACCGATAGCGCAGCTTTTCGACATTCACAAGTGCTTGTAACAGCCTAGACTGAATAAACGATATTGAATTTTGAATTTTTTAGTGTTACGTTTCTGGTTGTCATTGACAGGCATCGGTCCGGACGGGCACATCGCGTTTAACGAGCCGGGCTCGTCGCTAGTGTCGCGCACGCGAGTCAAGACGCTCGCGTACGACACGCTCGAGGCCAACAAGCGGTTCTTCGGCAACGATATCTCCAAAGTGCCGCGTCAGGCGCTCACCGTCGGTGTCGGCACCGTCATGGACGCCAAAGAGGTATATCACTCGTCGTATGTACCTGCAAAGTACATACTTATTCGAAGAGTCCATTACAATAGGCAACTTTATATACAGGGTGTTACAAAAATACAAATGAAGCTTGAAGGGCGTTGAAGTACATCATATAAGGAGTCTTCTCTAATTTTCTTAAAATATTTGCATGAAATTTTAACTTTTTATAAAAACAGCTATTTTTAATGAATAATAAAAATATCGATCATTTTAAGTCACGTCACTACTTCGAGGATTATTAAAAATAACTGTTTTTATAAAAAGTTAAAACTTCATGCAAATATTTTAAGAAAATTAGAGAAGACTCCTTAAATGATGTACTTCAACGCCCTTCAAGCTTTATTTGTATTTTTGTAACACCCTGTATATATATATATATAGCCAATTAGGCAAATGACTACCCCACCTGATGTTAAGTGGTGATAAAGTCCAAACGCCTGTTATCTTTGCAATGGGCGAATAAGTAATTTTATATAATAATTGTGCTTCTTTAGCGTGCAGTGTGGACCACCAACAACGCCCCCGTCGCCTTCCTAATTACCTAGAGCCCACAAAGTAGCACAGTTCTCGTGCACCGCCTAAAGCAAATGAACTCGGCGGAACTGTTTCACTTGTGCCATATAGGGCTGTTATTTGAAGAGTTTTTGAATAGAACTTGAAGAGTTTTTATTCTAAATAGTAAATCACACGATATGATCAAGTACAAATCAAATATTTTGGTTTCAGGAAACCGGAAACTACTGCCTTTTAATTTATTATAATTTGAATCCTCATTTACTACCTATCAAAGTTTGTCAGTATACAGGGTGTTACAGAATTCCGAAATAAAAATTTGTAGGTATCTGAGCGGGGCGCAGGGGCGCCTGAGGGAGAGAGGGGGGTCTGTTTAGGTAGTAGTAATCGTACGCATTTATAGGGTTGTCATAGGCAGGTGTAAAACGATATTTTTATTAATTTAATTAGAAAATAAAAGTGATCTGAAAAGCGTCAAACTTTCGTAGGTAATTCTATACAAGGAACACAACCAAACCCTAAAGTTTTATTTCGGACTTTTGTCACACCCTGTATACTTTCGTTTCGACAATATGACGGTTTCGTAACGTCGCTCGTCAGCCTCCCTGTACCCCCCCCCCCCGTATAATTTGTTATCCCGTAACGAGAGTGCACATAAACGTGACGGTGATGACAGGTGATGATCCTGATAACGGGCGGGCACAAGGCGCTGGCGCTGGCCAAGGCCGTAGAGGAGGGCGTCAACCACATGTGGACCGTGTCGGCCTTCCAGCAGCACGCGCAGACTCTGTTCGTGTGCGACGAGAGCGCCACGCTCGAGCTGCGCGTCAAGACCGTCAAGTACTTCAAGGTGAGGATCCACACCCACGCGACACGCGGACCACACGCGGGCGGGGCCCTTCCAGCGCCACGCTCGAGCTGCGCGTCAAGACCGTCAAGTACTTCAAGGTGAGGATCCACACCCACGCGACACGCGGACCACACGCGGGCGGGGCCCTTCCAGCGCCACGCTCGAGCTGCGCGTCGAGACCGTCGAGTACTTCAAGGTGAGGATCCACACCCACGCGACACGCGGACCACACGCGGGCGGGGCCCTTCCAGCGCCACGCTCGAGCTGCGCGTCAAGACCGTCAAGTACTTCAAGGTGAGGATCCACACCCACGCGACACGCGGACCACACGCGGGCGGGGCCCTTCCAGCGCCACGCTCGAGCTGCGCGTCAAGACCGTCAAGTACTTCAAGGTGAGGATCCACACCCACGCGACACGCGGACCACACGCGGGCGGGGCCCTTCCAGCGCCACGCTCGAGCTGCGCGTCAAGACCGTCAAGTACTTCAAGGTGAGGATCCACACCCACGCGACACGCGGACCACACGCGGGCGGGGCCCTTCCAGCGCCACGCTCGAGCTGCGCGTCAAGACCGTCAAGTACTTCAAGGTGAGGATCCACACCCACGCGACACGCGGACCACACGCGGGCGGGGCCCTTCCAGCGCCACGCTCGAGCTGCGCGTCAAGACCGTCAAGTACTTCAAGGTGAGGATCCACACCCACGCGACACGCGGACCACACGCGGGCGGGGCCCTTCCAGCGCCACGCTCGAGCTGCGCGTCGAGACCGTCGAGTACTTCAAGGTGAGGATCCACACCCACGCGACACGCGGACCACACGCGGGCGGGGCCCTTCCAGCGCCACGCTCGAGCTGCGCGTCAAGACCGTCAAGTACTTCAAGGTGAGGATCCACACCCACGCGACACGCGGACCACACGCGGGCGGGGCCCTTCCAGCGCCACGCTCGAGCTGCGCGTCAAGACCGTCAAGTACTTCAAGGTGAGGATCCACACCCACGCGACACGCGGACCACACGCGGGCGGGGCCCTTCCAGCGCCACGCTCGAGCTGCGCGTCAAGACCGTCAAGTACTTCAAGGTGAGGATCCACACCCACGCGACACGCGGACCACACGCGGGCGGGGCCCTTCCAGCGCCACGCTCGAGCTGCGCGTCAAGACCGTCAAGTACTTCAAGGTGAGGATCCACACCCACGCGACACGCGGACCACACGCGGGCGGGGCCCTTCCAGCGCCACGCTCGAGCTGCGCGTCGAGACCGTCGAGTACTTCAAGGTGAGGATCCACACCCACGCGACACGCGGACCACACGCGGGCGGGGCCCTTCCAGCGCCACGCTCGAGCTGCGCGTCAAGACCGTCAAGTACTTCAAGGTGAGGATCCACACCCACGCGACACGCGGACCACACGCGGGCGGGGCCCTTCCAGCGCCACGCTCGAGCTGCGCGTCAAGACCGTCAAGTACTTCAAGGTGAGGATCCACACCCACGCGACACGCGGACCTCACGCGGGCGGGGCCCTTCCAGCGCCACGCTCGAGCTGCGCGTCAAGACCGTCGAGTACTTCAAGGTGAGGATCCACACCCACGCGACACGCGGACCACACGCGGGCGGGGCCCTTCCAGCGCCACGCTCGAGCTGCGCGTCAAGACCGTCAAGTACTTCAAGGTGAGGATCCACACCCACGCGACACGCGGACCACACGCGGGCGGGGCCCTTCCAGCGCCACGCTCGAGCTGCGCGTCAAGACCGTCAAGTACTTCAAGGTGAGGATCCACACCCACGCGACACGCGGACCACACGCGGGCGGGGCCCTTCCAGCGCCACGCTCGAGCTGCGCGTCAAGACCGTCAAGTACTTCAAGGTGAGGATCCACACCCACGCGACACGCGGACCACACGCGGACGGGGCCCTTCCAGCGCCACGCTCAAGCTGCGCATCAAGACCGTCACAACGACAGTACTACAAAAAGACCAATGCCTGACATGACACACGAACGACCCTTTTTTTTTTAACGTCAGGGAAATGCGTTACGCATACCCCACCGCCTTGGGAGGCGGCGAGGTTATGTGGGACTCCTCCCCTCCTCCTCTCGCACACCCGCCCAACCAGTCCAAGGGCTGGCTCGGCGGCTGCTCGAGAGGAAGGGGGGACCCACTAAAAACCTGACGATGCCCCTCATATCACCGATGGGCCGAGGCCTCTCCTGGGACGGGATCCACCATCAGGCGGTACCCCCCTCGACGAGGCAGCGGCACTGTGTGAGGCCATGGGAACCCTTACGGATACATCCACAACCCCACCAGTAAGTGTCCGAGTCGAACGGACCCACCCAACTTGGGGATGCCTAATCTAATCTAATCGGGGGCATACGAACGACCCGCTAGCTACAAACTAAATCCTAAGAGAACTATGTCATGTCAACACGGACTACATTTCAATTCGAACGAGTAGGTACTATACTATCGACTTCAACTTTCCAAAGGAAATGACAACTGGCATCAAATATTATTCTTTCCTTCCCAATTTATGTGCATGATGATCGTTATTTAAATTTTATTAACTAACAAACAACATTTTCTATTGAGAACTAATGTATTTTTGAGCATACTTCAAGAACTATTGCCAAAAATAATTTCCAAAATAATACAAAAAAAAAATATAAATTAAATCATTAGATTGTAACAAACCTTTTTAAGAGTTATATGAATCATTAAATAAAAAAGACATTTTATTCCTGTGATTAAATCAATCGGGAAGATTGAGGAGTCAATATTAATATAACTGCATCTAAAATGTTTATAGAAATACTAAATACGACTGGGCTCAAGTTGCGGGATAGAAATGTCTGCTTATAACGTGCGCCCGTGCTAAATATGCATGCCCTTCAACAGAAATGTCTTATAATGAGCGACCGTCTAACTATGCATGCCCTACAATGATCAGGCGCTATAAAATATTATAATTCAAAAATTGAATTTTGAATCTAATACATTTTATCTAAGTGTTCCGTAGCGTAACAGGTTATTTTATATTTATTCGTTTATTTTCCAATTTGTAATTTGGAAGATAGATTGTTTTCTTTATAAAAGTATGAGGTAGGTGAAAATCTGTACTTCTTTCTTAAGCCTTGTGTGTTGGTACCACGACACGGGCGATGCCAGCGCTAATGAAACGGCATGCAGCAGTTAGATTCGAATCCCCGGCGTGTAAACAGATATCAATCAGCACTTAAGCTTTTTCCATTAAATCACCTACTGATCTGTGGATTTTTGGCGGCGACATCTATATGCCCCACAGATATACAACGGATGTAGGAAACCATTACTCACCATCCTCAAGAGATGGCGTTACTTGCACTGCGATCAATATTTGTATGGAAGCCTACATCGCGCAAATGAAATTCGGAGGCTAACTCTTCATATATACGATGCCCGACCAGTAACAGTCGGGCCGCGGCCCCCGAGCTAACATCACCCAGCTCGGAGGAAGATCTTCCCCTTTGGCCTTCCTACAGATTCTTATGCGTGATATATTCTTAGCAGCAATAGTTTGCCTAGTGTTTTGCGTTGACGAGCCTCGTTCTGCAGCCCAGCCCTCCTTACCCGTGGTGGCACGGAGCGTTTGCTGCAAGTCGCCAAACCCCGGCATTTATGACACTTAGATTAAAAAATAATAAAATTATTTTTATACAGGCTGTGTACAAACAGCTAACTCTATCACCCAAAACAACTTAGTTCCTTATTTTGCTTATCATATGATTCACAATTCTTCGACATTTGTCATTTAGTAGCTTCATGTATTAACACCACCAATACTTTTTTCTTTTATAACATATTGCAATAATTTTATCTAATATATATATACTTACTACTACTTGCCAATTTTACAAGCATGATAAATGATCATCATTCTACTTATACCTGAGGCTGCGGTGGGCGGTATATTGTGGGCTAACATTTGCTTACATCGGGCTGTTACGAATGTTTTCTATACAGTTGCACGATAAGTTAGAGGGATAAACGATTAGACTTTGTTACGCAATGAAAGCGTGGTGGACGAGGAGTGGGAGTGTGTTCCTACTATGTCGTAACGGTTAATTTATTGCTGGACGTCGCGACTGAAGTATCACAGCAAAAGAAAGATATGGAAGACAATTAATTATGCTGTTCTTTAAATGAACACCTACATTAAAGCCATGACGCTATAAACTGTATAATGCGATTCAACTAAGAATAGGACCGACTGGGCGCCATATTGTGATGTCATAGCTGTCAATTCAAACCAAATAGGTACAGTGAGCAAAAAAAGTTTTTATTTAATAAAACTTATTTACTAAAATTAAGTGAGAAAAACCATCACATTTTTTAATAACATTTATTTATTAAGATTGAGTAAAAAAACACCGATTTTTAATCATATTTATTTATTAAGACTGTGAAAAAAAAAAACTCAGAATCTGGCTCATCTATTCCGCTCATCTCTGCATTACCGCCGGAGTAGTTATGAATAATTATTCACTATTACTAGGTCACATACGATCATGCACCCTTATGTACACGAAAGTTTGAAATCGAGTTTCTGAACGCAACTTAGTGACATTTGGTTGTCGATTCAGGTTATCAACCATTCATGGCCAAAGCTCAATAAGTGAAAAAGAAATATCAACTGATGTTAATTATCAATATTTGTTAATGTTTGGTTTTTATTCTTGAATTCGCGGAGTGCTAAAAAAGGGTTCCAAGATTTTTTTGTAAACCGTACTTTTCAAGCGACATTTGACAGATAGAGGTCATTGGCTTTCCTATTCTTATATGAATCGCATTATACAACAATCTATCGCCACGAAACAGTGGGAACGCGCTCTAGGTCAGTATCCGTCAAACGGGAGAATCGTCGATTATTCCGCGAATTAGTTCCGCACGTGGGAGAGCGATATAGTGCGATTTACACACTTTATGGCGGTTGTGAAGTTAGCAGCGAGCGCGACTATGCGCCGGTTTCAGTTCAGTGACATCTCGCGCGCCTACTTCATCCTACAATGCAACCAATATTGGGGCACTGGGATGCAGGGCTTGTTTACCGGTTAATTTTCAAACTTAAATCAGTGTCAAGTACATTAGGAGCGTTTTATTTAGGTTTCGCTCTACCTTAACCTTAAAAACCGGTTTTCCTAAAGAGCGAAATCAAATAGGTTTTGAATCAATTTAGCGGTTTTGACAGGGTTTCATTTCTCTTTTTCTGATGGCATCGATAATAAATAAATAACTTGACTCACTAGACGCTAGCAAACGTGTCAATAAATGCACCAATCTCTCTGCATTAACAAGTTGTGACTTGATTAGTTCAAACAAAACAAACTTCAAGCGATGCCGACGCGTGCACGTGTAGCTCTGGATTAAACCGGTTTATTAAGGTTTAAGGTATCGCTTTCATTTCGGACGCGCTCCGAACGAAACCTTTACTAAAAATGGTTGCCTGTAAAGTCGGTTTTACGGGCGAAGATTTTACGTGACAACGTCTTTTTCTCGGTAGAATATTTATTGATATGAATATAATTAAATTGCACAATAGGAACAAGGAATTGAATGAAAATAAGAATTGCACAAATTTTAACTATAGAAATATATTTTGTTTACTAAAACATTGTACATGTAAACTTAAACTTAACACGAGAGACTCATCGTAACGTTACCGAGCGTTACACTTTTTCATAAGTGACTCCCAGCCGCAACCTAATTTAAGACGTTGTCACGTCAAAACCGGTATTAACCTTTATTTACTGGTATTTTCGAAACCGGTTTCAAGCCCTGCTGGGATGACATTGACAGGAGGGTGCTGCTGGTGAATAAGGGGTGCATTAAGGATTAATAAGTACGTAAAATCTCCTCGCTAAAGGAAGGTTAATATAATTTTCAATAACTGTGAAAGAGTAATGGGAAATATAAAAGGCTTTTTTACACCTCCTTCTATAAATAAAATGCTTATTTATACCTTCCCAATATTAGTTCCGCTCGTGGCCGCGCGCCACAATACCCGCGCTAACGTTCACAGCCCCCGTTAAGTTAGAATGGCACTAAATGTTAAGTGTTGGTGGTGCGCAGGCGCTGAGCTCGGAGCACCAGAAGATGATTGAGGACGCGCCCGTCGCCGCGCAGCGCGTGCTGCACTGATACTGTACCGATGCACCGACGCCGCAGCCAATAACGGTTCACATTACAATTCAATATATTTATTGCTTTATAACCCATTCGTTATACTTTTTTTAAGTGTTTATTATCTTAGATTAAAACAAAAAGGGAAAATACGGTTAGAGTTGCCAACTATACTGTTTTCAACAGTATTATACTGTTTTTCACAAACTTTTTTTACTGTTGAACAAAAATAAAGTTTACAAAATACTGTTTTCAGCATGCAAACACATTATTATGTGTTATACTTTAACGCTCACACAAATTTGTTTTTATTCAGTCAGAGGGCGCTCACTGATCAATGATCAGCCACAAACAAATCACACCGAGTTTAGAGAAATGGTTCAATTTCAATCAGACTAACTGGCTTTCTTTAATAAGCTGTTTGTCATTGAAGTCTTTGGTCACATTTGATCATTTTGAGAAAATTATAGATAATCTAAATTTGTATAGACTCAATATTGTATGGATTATTTATATTCAGAATTAATAAATTTCAAAGTAAGTTATGAAAAAATATCAGAAGACAAAGATTTTCCTGAAATGAGTACTGGCCAAAAGTGGAAGCCATTTAATAGTAAACACTTCAGAAGAATTTAAAAATATAACTTAAATTGTCTCATATCTACTTTCTCTTCCCGCCACCTCAGCATTTACTGAAAGAGTTTTTTCAGTAATGAATGCTAAGTGGCGGGAGGATAGAAATAGAGCGTCTTAATAGACGCTCTATAAATTAATATTCAATAAAAAATGAGCTCCTCATTTACTTTAATTTCAGTTATAATTGTGGTGAAGCGTATGAAGTTTTTAAAAAAGATTGTAAATTAATAAATTGTGCGAGAAGTTCTAAAAAATATGATTTTAAAACTTTAAATAAATAAAATACTGTTCATTTTTCTAAAATACTGTTTAATATCCTTCACAGACCGGAATATACTTTATTTCTTGTAAAAGTTGGCAAGCCTAGATACAGTACGCTCATACCATCCCATCAAATAAAATATGATCCGACTCAACTACATGAGCAACTCTCACAAACGCACACGTCTGTATATAAACATTCAATCGAGCGAGCGAGACAGAACTGTACGCATCAACGCAGCGCGAGCGAAACGGCGAGTCCGCTTCTAGTCCGTACGGCTGAGCTGTATTGTTGTCCTTTTCTGGATAACAAAATGGCGATTACGTAAATAACATTCACGACAAACCGTGATTTATGAGAATAAAATGATTGTACAGTTTTACGAATGAAAAGTGTTGCCGATGCATTTGTTATTGACTTTGAGCCATTTGTGTTCTTTGAAAAAGCAGCGAAGGCATTGTTTTATCTTTATTACACAGAATATACCCAATATTGTTATATTGAGTGCACATGCAGCGTGATTGAATGTGCAATGGTGACTTAAACGAATTGTGGTCATGCACCACAATTTAAGCGGATCACTGGAGCCGCGAGTGCCGTATCTTCCCTTTTTGTTTTAATCTAAAATTAATAAACAATGATTAAGTTTTCATGCACACCAATCAATTAATAAAACACTGAAGAGGTATTTAGTGCGATTTATTAACATTTAAATTCTTAACACTCTCACCAGTTTTGCTCTCTAGGAATCTGTTCAGAAAGTGTTTTATCAAACAAATAATGAGCTTGGACACGGTTTTTCGTCTTCGTGATATGTTTTTAGTGTTAAAAAAATGCCATTGTCATATTAGCCATAAAGTTAAAAGATATATTTATTATTGATGTTGACAAAATAATTTATATGACAAAAAAATATTCAAAGCGAATGAGATTCTCGCAGAGCTCGCGCCGTAAATGCTTTCGTTATAGGCAAAATAATAAGTAAAAAATCTGCAAGTGAATGAACATGAAAATTTCTTTAGTGGGTAAATTTACAATCTGAAATTCTCAACTGGTAGGCACTGAGCAAGTTATCTATACTGCTAGGTTGTTCAGGTTATGTAAATATTTCAATACAACCTTTTACTGCAGTTTATGATATAAACAGGTTTTAGTGTATTGGGATAATGAGGTATGATATTATCTTAAGTAAATCTTTAGTATTATTTAATATTCTTATGCTGTATTACAGAGTCTGATGGGAGAACACAACAAACTGATAGAGATGGCGCCGCCGCACTGACACCACATTCCAACACGTGTACGTTATGTATAGTCAAATAAATATATAATTTTTGTACTAAATATGTAAAAGATTTTATGGTTTAATAAAAAATATGTAATTTTTTATAAAATAAAAAAAGCACTCATTTTAATATTTCCCTACATTATAGTGATCGAAGCTGAGGAGCTCAATGGTGTAGGTGGTTAGCGCGTTCGTCTGAGATCATTGAAGTTAAGCAACTTCCGCAGCGGTCGGTATAGGATGGGTGACCAAAAATTTACTATCTCGAGCTTCGGAAGGCACGTTAAGCCGTTGGTTCCAACTGCATTGGTAGTGCGGATATTAGGCTAAGGATGATGATATTCGTGATAGCCTGGAGCGAAAGTCATGGCACTGTTTTAGATATCATATCTGTGGACATGGGTTAATGTCGCAGGTAATTAGTTTGCTAAGGGAACATTGCATGACCATCCGCTAAAGGAAAACTTTAAACTTGATTTTTATAAATAAAACTAGTTTTTACGGGTTAATGCACGAAACTTTATTGAAGTTATACTTCTTTAGGCGCGTTATGAAAAAATGATGAGAGTGAAATCATAAGATGCGCGCGCATCACTGTAACACAAAATTTTAACAGCATGAAGTTGGTCGCTTTAGCGACTTAAGAAAATCTACCAACAAAATAGAAATAGAATCTCTATTTAGTGGGTGCTAACGACTGCATTGTGAAGGCCTATCAAAAGTATTTATTAATCTGGAACAACGGAACCAAAGCGCGATTCAGGAGACTACAGCGCCATCTCTTGATCATTGGTGTAGTAGAACCAAAAACCACATCTTTATTTTTTGTAATAAAATAACAGTTATAGGTATTCATATTTATAATATTTATCCACATGTTTCTAGTTTGTATATTCGGAATACGTGTTTGAGTTTCATACAAGTGCAAATCACATATGTTCTAATAAATTATATTCAGTAGCGATTTTAATTGAATATTTTGATTATTTATTTATTTTTTCAAATTAAAACTGAACTTTATTGACTGTGTCCTTTTCCAGACTTTTTATTAATTTATTGTAATTAATTATTTGCATGCAATTAAAAACTAATTTTAACGATGCCAAAGAAGGATAACTTCTCACGCGCCTATATAAGTACACGCACCCATTTTTTTTATTTATATATTACATAAATAAAGTTTCGTGCATAGTTGATTTTTATATAATACAACCTCAACAATTATTACAGTTTATTTAAAATATATTGATCAGTGGCTCGCACATTACTTTTGAACAAGGTAGAACTTAACAAACAATTCAATAGCTATTATACATCAGTTCGTAACCATTCAATCACTGAGAAACACTTCAAGAAATTGTCACATAAACTGAGCTGCAACACTGTGATCCTGTCGCACAAGTATATAGTCCCTCTATGTGAATATTGGTCAAGCTGGAGCTTCGACCGTATTGTTAGCAGCGCGACAGAGTCGGGCGAGCAGGCCGGCGAGCTGCAGCGGGGAGGTGAGCCCATCGGCCACGCGCATGTGTGTGAGCCCCACCTCACGGATCAACGCCAGCCGGATCTCTTCGCTCGCATCCACCGTCTTGCTCACACGGAATATGTTGCTCACTATGTCCTCCGCTGCGTAGCCCAGCTTGCACAGCTTCGCGATCACCTATATACAGCAAAATATGTAGTTGCGTTTATTGCTACCTTAATCCAGGTGAAACTTATCTATATACATATAGGCAATGTTAGTCTCTGGGCTCTTCTAGGGGGCCGTTCAAGTATTACGTAAGCAGATTTATTACAATTATTTACCCTCCCCCCCCCATAATACGTAATAATTGGTACCTATATGTATTTTTCCTTTGATTAATTCATGAGCTTTTATGAGCTTCATGAGCAGCAGAACTTAAATAGGCTTAGGATAGAGGACTTTAATGGACATAATATGTATACTAATTTAAACAATCTTTATTGGAACAGTTTTCAACGTAGAGTAAGGTACAAATATTATAATCTTATTAAGTACTATTACGAACAAAACAGACTTCTTCCGAATTTTTAGTATACATATTAATTCCAATTAACTGTCTTCAGTCCATGATGCTGACGTAATCAATATCTCAACCCCCACCCCCCATGTCATCAAAAATAAGTAAAGCAAAGACCCGCCTACCCCCCTATAGTGCTTACGTGATATGTGAACGGCCCCTAGGAAAAAATGCATTAATATTTTTTCATTAAGCTAGAGAGCCCTTTCAAATAATAAAAGAAATTATGAATGCCTATAATACCTTAACTAATGTTGAAGTACAGATCAAATTACTTTGACACCATACCAACTGAATAATTTATTATAAATCATTTGCCAGTTATTACCACTAACTACATTGTAGTTGGCTTAAATGATGATTAGCTTAACTACTACTATACGTACTCAAACAGATATCAAATTAAAAAATGATCACCTTATATGCAGAATGTATATCCTGTTTGATACAAGATTCCAGCATGCCCTTGATGAGCATTGGGTGTGGCTCATCACACACCTTGAACACATTATCAGGACTTATGTGGCCAAAGCCCTGTGCGGTTGACTGCAGGTTGTTGAGGGCAGATCTCAGGTCCCCCTGTGCTGTGAACACCACAGCACTTACCCCCTCCTCTGTGTATGATAGATTCTCCTTTTCACACACTTCTAGAATCTAAATAAAAAAGGTAAAATGATAAGTGAATTGAAAATATAAAAGAAAAAACCATAAAATGCATGTATTACTTAACTCCCTACTGTACTGTACTGAAAAGTAATAAAATTACTTAGTTAAATAAGTGTCAGAATAAACTGCAAAATGTGGAGTTCAGAAATCCAGTCTTTCTAACTACATAATTTGTTATTTTCTTACTTTTGCAAGGATCTGAGCATCTGTAAGGCGAGAATAGCGCAATACTGCACAGCGGGATTGAATTGGCTCTATAATTTTCTCGCTATCATTAGCAGCTAAAGCAAATCGAGTTGTGCTTGAATATAACTCCATGGTGCGGCGTAAGGCCTGCTGAGCACCGTCTGTCATACTGTCCGCTTCATCTAAGATAACTATCTTGTGACGACCAGCAGGTAGCGTTACCTAAAAACAGATAATTAGGTAAGTTGATGTGCACAACTGCCCACAAGTATTGATGAAAAATGGTATACCTTCTGTTGAGCAAACATTTTGATTTTATTTCGGACCACATCAATACCTCGATCGTTTGATGCATTCAGTTCTAGAACTGCGTCTTTGAACGAAGGTCCTAATAAAGCGCGTGCTAGACACAAGATTGTAGTGGTTTTGCCAACGCCGGGTGGGCCAGCGATGATGATGTTAGGTGCGTTACCAGTTCGAGCAAAAACCGACAGCCGCGACACTGTATCTTCGTTCCCAACGATATCATTGAACGTTTGAGGGCGATATTTCTCTATCCATGGCAGATGTGCAATGGATTTTGTAGAGCTCTTTGTCGGTTGACTGGATTTAGACGGCTTGGGCTCATCAACTTCCATAACAGTAATATCATCATCACTCATGTTAATTTACTTTGTTTTAAACTATATATAGTTTTTTGTTTAAGAACAAGCAGTGAAATCGACAAAAATTTAACTCGATTTCGCGGAAAAATTTTGATGTTCTGTAAAATGTCAATGTCAAACTGTTTAACTTTTAAGATTCTCCCTTTTTTGGGTAGGCAATGAAAACAATGCCCAGACAGCCTAGTTTTATGTTATATTAATCTTCTTTTTTACATTAAAATGTCTGTGTGACGCATTCTAATGCTTCATGGAATGTTTCGCACGATATGGATCGAGTTGGCTTTTTCGATAAGCATTTGTGAGCTGGCCAACACTACAATAAAGTTCTTACGTCCACTTGACCGGAATAGCGAGTATATTTTAAAGATTCCACTAATTCTTCAGTTGCGCAGACGGTTGTAAAACAATATCACACCAATTTTATTTCACAATATGAATTTAAGAATAATTAAAATAGGACGTCAACTGCACTCGATGAAATCCATAAAGGTATAAGAATAGAGTAGGGTAGGTATGTACTCAACCACAAGGGGAAGTGTCTGTCTAGTAGAAAGAGGAAGAAGGTGAGAGAAGGCTAGCTATCTCTTTCCCTTGTGACGCTGCGCAGTCGTGTGATTGGTCGGTATTGCTGCGCAGTCATGTGATTGGTCGGTATTCATCCATAGGTTTTTAGTCCAATGCGTATTCGAGATTAGAGAGAGAAAGGCTAGTCGTCTCTCATTTTCTTTCTCTTTCTACTAGACGGACACTTTTAGAGCCGCTTTTCTCAACTCATTTATAGTCAAGCAGTTTGGTAGTTCATTAAGATAGAACTAATTAGAATGAACCCTAAGTTACGCGCTGTAAGTAGTCAAAGCTTCGTCGCGCAGGTGAGGGAAATGCACAAATGCATGACGTTTATGTTTATATTATATGAAATATAATTCGGAACGTAACCTTGCAATTTACATTGTCGTTGATTAGTCCACAGACTGAGGGTACGGCCAGAGTGCACTCAGATTCAGATTCTGAAAACAAGCGAGAGAAATAAACAGTGTAATCTAAGCAGGTTGCCTGCTTTTTCTCGCGCTTTGTTTTCTGAGTCTGAATCTGAATCAGGAGTGCACTCTGGCCGTACCCTTCGACTACACTGTTTATTGCTCGCGCTTGTTTTCGGAATCTGAATCTGAATCTGAGTGCACTCTGGCCGCACCCTTACCCTGAGGCCATTAGCACAGACAAAGATAAAAATTAGAACTTACTGGAGGTGTATTCCGAAATATACACCAGTACACTGGCTAGCGGTAAAGACGTCATGATTTCGACGCCATATTGCATTGGTGTAGTAGTAGTAGTGTTGTCAATTTCATGCCGAAATCATGACATCATTACCACTGGCCAGCGCACTGGTGTATATTTCGGAATACACCTTGGGTGTACTCCGAAATATATATCAGTATACTGGCCAGTGGTATTCACGTCACGAATCCGGTGCCATATTGTACTGGTACGCTAACATATTTTTACCGGGAAAACGAATATGACGTATGACCTAGCGTGCGTGAGCTGCATTCGAATTTTATTTCTTTTTTTATTTAAAGAACAATACTGGCATCCGAAACAAAAGAATTCCTTTTAATTGATGAGGTGGATAAAAAAGTCTTCTTTATTTGCACTATTTTTAATATTTTGTCGATTCATGACGTCATTGGTGTCGATTCTAGCATGATTCTCTAAACCTAAACTTAAATTTGACAGCAGTATATCCTTGTCATTCTCTATACAGAATGAAAAGGAGAGACTGATGTTAAATTTAATTTTAAGTTTAGAGAATCTGCCAGAATCGACACCAATAGCACTGGCCAGTATACTGGTATATATTACGGAATATACCCAGTCTTGTGTTCTCTGCAAGTTTCTGTGTGTCAATGGTGTCGATTCTAGCATGATTCTCTAAACCTAAATTAAATTTGACAGCAGTATATCCTTGTCATTCTTTAAACAGAATGAAAAAGAGAGACTGCTGTTAAATTTAGTTTTTAGTTTAGAGAATCACGCCAGAATCGACACCACTGTCTGTATAAAATGACAGATTCCAAAATATTTTTTGGTTCTGTTTGTTCAAAAAAAATAATTGAATTATTGTATTGAATACGATTAATTCTTTTCCATTAAATTCTTACCTTAAACGCAAAATACATGAAGAGCTACTATAATTTTAACTGAACTGTTAGATAAATCCGTGCATTGCTTATTTAGTGGTGAATCATCGCCCTACAGGTTGATTGATTTCAATATACATGTTTTTTCCTAATGTATTTCAAATGTCTTACTTTTGTTTAAAGTATGTGAATCTCGTTTTTAAAATAAAGTGTAGTATGTAATATTTACTATTTAGGATAATGTACATTATTTTAAGTGGTGCTGTAATTGCTGGTGGTGGTGCTGTATTTAAATTTTACAGATCTATCGCATTTACCAATTGTTCTTTTATGACTATTTAGTTCTGTTAATTCGATATTTTAGTGCAGGCCTTATTATGTATGAAGAAGTAATTAATTACTGACCTCAAGCTGTGAGCTTAATTATTTGTTATTTTTAGCTTTAAAGATGGAGTGGTTGTTTGGTCATCGCATGACACCTGATGAGATGCTGCGTAAGAACCAGCGTGCTCTGAACAAGGCAATGCGAGACCTTGACCGAGAACGACTTAAGATGGAGCAGCAGGAGAAAAAGGTCATCAATGATATCAAGAAGTTAGCTAAAGAGGGGCAGATGGTATGTTTCTACTTGTTCTAGCTGCTTTTGAGCCTAACTATGAGAAAAGGGTGAAATATAAAATAATTAAATACTCTTTACACTTGGTCTAATCAGTCAAGCCTCCAAGTAAGCTCTGCCCACCTAGCATGAACACTGCGATATGATATACAGTGTAAACTGTATATAACGACACTAAAGAGACTGTACATTTTATGGCGTTATAGAGAGTTGTCGTTATATGGAAAGAAGAAAAATCAGAATTATGAAAAGAAAAAGTTCATTTCAAGTTAGTAGTTATGTACATTAAAAAGTAATCTTATTTGAAAGCTATTGCGTATATTCTGTTATTTTTGTCGGACCTCTTTTGCTGCACCAGTAATTTTGTTGTATTATATTTTTTTTTGTCATGGTCAACAACAGTCTACCTGTGCAATCCCAATTTGTAAACATAAGAACGAATTTCTGAGAAAGTTTGGTTTGCATGATGCCGGCAGTTGAGTTTATTACGGAATAGGATAATAAAGCGACAAAAGAACATACAGAGCTGCGCGATTTTCACACATTTTGGCAACTTAATAGGTACTTTTTATTACTTAATTGTTGACGTTATTGAGAGTGGGTGTAATGCTATATGGAGTGTATCATTGTATGGAAAACAAACTAAACCAACCACAGACGAGTGATTTCGACGCTTTAGGGAGTTTGTCGTTAAATCGACTGACGTTACATGGAGTTTACACTGTATTACTCGTTTTTATCATGCTAAAGTGTCAAATTACTATGAAGTTTGACAAAAAAAAATGTGTGCGTGTACTAGTGTACACACGTAAGAAGTGAAACTTCTTTATGGCCTTATTTTTTTTCGAAAAATGATCTACATGCAACTTTCCAGAAATATAGGCGTGCGCTAAGGTTTTTCAAAAACTCACCCACTAAAGGGGTATAACTACACCTTACCTTACCTTACCTTACCTTACCACACAGCACACCAAACCTGCAACCTGAAAAACAAACACATAATTATAATACCTTACCTTACCTTACCTTGTGTGAAACACGAATATTTGCTGTCGATACTTTTTTTTTTTAAAGTTGACAGAAGAAGCAATTTTTCGGAAGAGGTAAATAGTGCTCTTTTAAAAAAAAGATGGCGCGTAACCAAAAAACGTGACGCGTAACCGAAAAAATGTGACGGTAAATTTTTTTCCAACGCCGATAAAGAAGTTTCACTTCAAAAGTGATATAATGTAAATTGAGGTGCTCATGCTACGTGAACTGTAAGGCTTGTGGTATTGCATAAATACATTAATAATATGACCATTATAATTTTTTTAGCAAATGATTTTATTTGTATATCTGTATTGTGTTTTTTATTAATAAGGATGCAGTAAAGATCATGGCAAAAGACCTGGTACGCACGCGCCGTTACGTGCGAAAGTTCATGTTGATGAAGGCGAACATCCAGGCAGTATCGCTGAAAATACAAACTCTCAAGTCGCAGAACACGATGGCGCAGGCGATGCGCGGCGTCACACGTGCCATGGCCACCATGAACCGACAGCTTAACATGCCACAAATACAGAGCATATTGCAGGTAAGTAGAGCTAAAATTATTGATATTAGTCATCATCAGCCTATTAATGTCCCCATTGCTCTCCATATTTTGCCATTGCCCATAGCTCTCAAAACTATTTTAATCCCCCTCGAGCGAGCTCAGAGAGCCATTTTAAAAGTAGCCAATTCACTTCCCTTCTTATATCCTACGCATCAACTTTACAAATACTGTAATGTGTTAACTGTTCGCCAGCTTTTCATTATGCACACCATATTAAAACAACACACCATTTCACCTTTTTGCTCTGATATCACTAACAAAAGACGGAAAGATATAGTACTGCATCTCTACACATGATTCAAAATACATCTTTTCACATAGATTCTCTACTTTCCTAAGTCCTTTCTTATATAATAAGTTAAATAGAGTATTAGGTATTTACACATTAAACTATTTTAACTGTAGAACTGTAATATTTAATTATTTGCACAGCCTGACATACGAGCAGACCGAAGAATTACTTCTTATTTGTAAATAAATGAACGTAACTCCATTATTTACATTTACCAACATTTATATAATGATTACTTTAAGTTCTGTTTTAATTAATTTGTTAATTTATTAAATATTCTATGTATTATTTAGATCATAAAAGCCTGAAATACAGGTACAATTTTAACTGTAACCTAGTTCAGGCATCCATTATTTTGTATTTTATATTGTTATTAGTATTATTATGCAATGTATGACCTTATTTGAATAAAGATATATTTATTATTATATTATTATTATTATTGCTTCTGGGGCACAGGCCTTCCCTATGGATGGAATAGGGAGATTGGGCCATGACCCATCACGCGGGCCCAGTGCGGGTTGGTGGGTGCTAACGACTGCAGATGCAGCCGGGACTTACGGCTACCAACGGCTTGACGTGCCTTCCGAAGCACGGAGGAGCTCGAGATCGTAAATTTTCGGTCACCCATCCAATGACCGACCACTGCGAAAGTTGCCTAAATTCAACGATCGCAGCCGAACGCGCTAACCGCTTGCGCCATCGAGCTCCTCCTCGAGCTTGATATTAGTAGTTATAAAAAAATTATATCTATTGCCCAGGCAGCAGGCAACAATAACATTTTGTTAAGATTAAAAAATCAGGCAGCTTTATCCTTAAAATTTAACTAAAATTAAGATACTGCGAATGACAAGCCATATATTTGTCAAAAAAGTCAACTTCTAACTACTAGTTAAAAAAAGTAATAAGTAATAATATTTTGAGATCATTTTAAATTTTATCTCAATGGCTGCTTTCTTTTAACATATCACATGCAGCAGAAACTGACATGGCATAATATGTTGTGATGAGTATGGTCACTTTACATACATAAATTAAATTGTGACATTTGGAGCTCACTTGTATTTGATGCTTTATTGCAGGAGTTTGAGAAGCAGTCGGAGATAATGGATATGAAAGAGGAGATGATGAATGACTCCATTGACGAGGCCATGGAAGCTGATGATGATGAGGAGGAAAGGTCAGTTGGAAACTTATAATTTTCATAGTGCATTGTTATTGTTATATATGTGTGTTATTATATAAATGAACACCTATAAAAGTGTGATCTTTGCAGCAATATTATATTCAAATATACAGTGTAAACTCTATGTAAGTCACTCGAACAAACTCCCTAAAGCGTCAAAATCACTCGTCTTTGGTTGGTTTAGTTTGTTTTCCATACAATGATACACTCCATATAGCATTACACCCACTCTCAATAACAACAACAATTAAGTAATAAAAAGTACCTTTTTAGTTGCCATAATTAGTGAAAATCGAGCAGCTGTGTACGTTCTTTTGTCGCTTTATTATCCTAGCCCGTAATACACTTGACTGCCGGCATCTTGCAAACCGAAATTTCTAAGAAATTCTTTGTTTTGTTTACAAATTGGGATTGCATGTGTAGACTGTTGTTGACCATGACTAAAAAAATATAATACAACAAAATTACTAGTGCAGCAAAAGACGTCAGACAAAAATAACAGAATATACTCAATAGCGTTCATGGATGTTTAACATGTTACCCTAATATCCTATAACACAAGCCCTACAGTGCTTACTTTGGGGCTAGGCTAATAGGGGTGATGACGGGGTACAGTAAACGAAATTCTATTTAGTCCGTCAGTTAGATGATCAAAAAATAATGGACACGTATTTTTTCTTTGGGCAATCAACCAAAAAATGACAAAGTTATAGCGCGTCAAAGTTTGGGAGTTTGGCTTGTGACGTCACTTTTGAGTGAATTTTCCCTTAGAAGTGTACTCAAACGTGACGTCATGCGACTTTTCAAATCAATATATCTCTGCAATGCTTATATTATGTGAAAAAAGAAAAAATACGTGTCCAATAATTTTTGATAATCTACCCGATAAACGAAGAAAGAAAAATTAGTCATCATCCCTATTGGTGTGTGTTAGAAATGTTTATTTATTTATAAGATTTTATTTTTATGTACATAACTACTAGCTTGAAATAAACTTTTTCTTTTCATAATTCTGATTTGTCTTCTTTCTATTTAAGGACAACTCTCTTTAACGCCATAAAATGTACAGTCCCTTTAGTGTTGTTTTTATAGAGTTGACACTGTTTTATTCATTTATTTGTAGAATCATAACTTGAATCATGCTATGAAAGCTTCAAGTTATTAGGATGAAAGTATATTCATTTTGTTTTATTCATTAGAAGGTAACATTCTTTAAATCATATTTATTATCTTGCAGTGACGCTGTGGTGTCCCAGATCCTGGATGAGCTGGGGCTGCAGCTCAATGACACTTTGTCTGGCCTGCCGCAGCCTACTGGCTCATTGTCCGTGCCTGCCGGTAACTATATTACTATTTTTTATCTAAGATACCTAATAGGGTATTTGACAGTATTAAAAATAAAGTGCTAATTGTTAGTATCTGTATTTAGGATGAATATTGGCAGGAGTTTTTACAATTTTTACAGAAATATTATTCATAATTTTACTAAAAACCCACGATAAAGATAATAGTTTTCTTGTCTTTTGTCACGTGACCCAAAACGCTTGGGATTGGTGGTGCCTTAAATGACGTCACACGCAAGTAAACTTCCGGTTAAAGTGACATTAGGTTGTATGGTTTGACGTTTTAATGGCAGTCGTGTGACGTCACACACCAGTAAGACACCATATTGTCCAGAGATACGTGTTTCGCGGCAACTTAAAAATAGAGTTTTTGATTTAGTTTTTTTACCGAAATACACAACTTATTGATGAATATCCACTTTTTATGGACTCCATAAACATTAGTCAATAACGTGAGATTGTTTTCTAAAACTTGTCAAATAGCCCTAGTAATAAATAAATATTGTACTTTGTAATATTTAATGCTGAATGGCTGACAGTTTATAATTTCTATGAAAAAGGGCTCAGGAGCTTTCGATAATTTTACAATACTGAAAAATATGTACTTCATCATTATTTTGCTACATTTGATAAAAGATATTACCAATTATTTACAGAGCCATCAATTTCGCATTTTCTTAGAATCTTTTATCCAATTTCTCTGATGAACACTTCACAAAAAGTGTTTTAAAGCAAAAATAAATGCAAATAATTTATTCTTGTCGATCTGACAGGAAATTTGTGAAGTTTTATTTTGTTTTAGCACATACTAAGCTACGCATATCAAAATAGAACAAAATGGATCGACTCGACTAAATTACTTGCTAAAGTGCTCGACTAAATTTTCACTGTCCAGACATTGCGTACTAGGCTTTACACCCATATTCTTAGTCGCGTCCTCAAACGTTCCTCGACTCTCATTCGAGGGCTCCTTAAGGAGTTCCTCCAAATAACCTCGAAAATGATATTCTAGTAGGTATCTTGAACAAACTTGAGAATTCCTCCACTGAGAGTACAAACAAAGTTATAAAGCATAAAAGCATAGACATATTAAATGTGTAAACTAAAATATCACACAACAAACATAGGTAAATACCTATTTTAAAGACGGTAACGTCCGGTACGTCGAGAGCTACCTTGAGTTTGATAGTTTATTCCTCGACTCGACCTCCACTCGAGTGAGGAATATTTTAAATGAAGGTTATTTTTGTTGTCTAAGCATACGAATTTCCTCGAATGAGGTCGAGTCGAGTGGAAAAAATTGTGTGTGTCAGCTCCGACGCACGACTGGAGTTTATTCCTTAAATTCGATAGTCTAACCGGACGCAAAAAGAGTTTATTTAACTTAAAAAAATGGTTGCCTGTAAAGTCGGTTTTACGGGCGAAGATTTTACGTGACAACGTCTTTTTCTCGGTAGAATATTTATTGATATGAATATAATTAAATTGCACAATAGGAACAAGGAATTGAATGAAAATAAGAATTGCACAAATTTTAACTATAGAAATATATTTTGTTTACTAAAACATTGTACATGTAAACTTAAACTCATCGTAACGTTACCGAGCGTTACACTTTTTCATAAGTGACTCCCAGCCGCAACCTAATTTAAGACGTTGTCACGTCAAAAAGATTGATACTGTAAATGCCATATCCACGTTTACTTGTAAAGCTCAATGGTTTCGTGTTCAACGAATGGCGCGGTGGTACACCGACGCGGTTTCCTTGTCGTCGTAGGCAATAAAGGTACGCTACGATACCGTGCTACGGTGTAGCACTGCGGCTGCTACAGCGTAGACGGTGAGAACGTAACGAGGTCATTCATCGATAGATTTCACTCCTCACATTTTTCTCATACCGGGCCCCTTATATATGGAAATCGATTCTTAAGGAGTAAACTCCAAAAATCTCGAGGAAACGACTAAGAATTTAAATAAAAATAAATAAAATAAATATTTCCAACACTCACACCAATTAGCCTAGCCCCAAAGTAAGCACTATAAATGCTTGTGTTATGGGATACTAGGGTAACGGATAGAATACATATATTGTACATATATAAGTATATTTATATAAAATACATATTTAACATCCATGACTGGAGTACAAATGCTCGTATTCATCACACAAACATCTGCCCCCACCGGGATTCGAACCCGGGACCTCTCGAGTCGGTGACGCCATGAAACCCGGCGTATAAACCACTCGGCCACGGAGGTCGTCAAAGTGGGTGTTAAAGTGGGTATTGTATGCAGGTCGCACGCCCGTGGCCGCCGGGGTCGCCGCGGGGCCCACGGGGGTGGGGGGCGGGGCCGGGGGCGGGGCCGGCGCGGGGGGCGGGGCCGGACTATCCGATGCGGACGCGGAGCTACAGGCGCGCCTCGATAACCTGCGTCGGGAGTGATCTAACTACTGTCTGCTGACGATGATGATGATGCTGATGCTGTACCAGCCACCCGACACCCGACACCCGACACCCGGTGAGGACGCACCACCTAACACTCGCACTACACTACAAAATATTAATTCGGTTTAACGATGGTGTCGATTCATACGAAGGCTAAATTTTAATTATTTTATTTGATGGAAATTATTGAATTTAATTTATGGAATTTATTAAATTAAAAAAATGATTGGGTGTATTTTTAGTGACATGTGCCTATTTCTATAATAATTGATTATGCATTATTATTATGATTATGAGTTATGTTGCTCGAAATAAATGAATTTTATTTTATTTTATTAAAGGCGACGTGGGCCACCGCCTACGGCCTCGCGGTACAAGGGGCCTCGCGCCTCAAAGATTTTTATGCATTGCTAAAAAGCGAATTTCTTTTTTTTTTATCTAATATATAAAATTCTCGTGTCTCGGTGTTTGTGGTTAAACTCCTCCGAAACGACTTTCCCGATTCTCGTGAAATTTTGTTCGCATATTGGGTAGGTCTGAGAATCGGATGACATCTATTTTTCATCCCCCTAAATGTTAAGGGTAATCCACCCCTAATTTTTTTTGAAGTTATACTTCTTTAGGCGCGTTATGAAAAAAAGAATGAGAGTGAAATTTTTGATGCGCGCGCATCACTGTAACCCAAAAGTAACAGCATGAAGTTGGCCGCGGGCGCGTTATGAAAAAATCATGTGAGTGAAATTTCGAGATGCGCGCGCATCACTGTAACACAATAGTAACATCATGAAGTTGGCCGCGGGCGCGTTATGAATGTTAGTGTCTAATAATGGTGGATTATTAACCACTTAGTGGTTAATAATCCACAATTATTAGACATCTGTTCGAAAGGTACTTTGAACGATCCACGGAGCTTCATAAGATGATCGCGTTGTCAAAAACAATGTTGGCACGCTCGTCGCCTCTGATCACTGTTTTCATATTTATAATATTTATCCACATGTTTCTAGTTTCTATATAGACACAACGTGTTTTAGTTACTTACAAGTGCTAATTACATATGGACTAATAACTTAAATTCAGTAGTGATTTTAATTGAATATTTTGAATATTTATTTAATTTTTCAAATTAAAACTGAACTTAATTGACTGTGTTGACTATCCTTATCCTTATTATTTTTTTTTTCAATTTTAGATATTTTTTTTTTATTTTTTTTATGATACAGCATTAGTAAATACATATAACCCTAAATATTCACCCTTCTACCACCAACCCCTATTTTTTATGGCGGTACGAAGTTCGCTGGGACAACTAGTTATTTTATAAAATCCGTTTTCAGGTCGCCACAGAACAGGGCCTCGCGAAATCTGTCTTGCCCACATCAAATTTAGGTCTTGCCCCGCCACTGGATTCATAGGCATATTTCTCTAAAGAAATTGACACCATGGTTTAGTCCTTAAACTAAATTTGACAACAGTGTATTCTTGTCGTTCTCTCTACGCAATGAAAGAGAAAGACTGATGTTAAATTTATTTTTTTTGAATTTAGAGAATCGTGCCAGAATCGCCACCATTGTTCAATGAAATCACAGAGCACTCCCGCTGAGACCGCATTACTGAATTTTTTTTTAAATAGAAAACATCAAAGTCGGACATGCGAGAAGGGAAAAGCCTAGCATTGATTTAAAAAAAATAAAGCAAATGCGTAAGTCGTAGAACACTAAGTTAAAAATAAACAAATATAAGTTACACAAATACACACAATACGTTATGAAAAAGCTGACAGTTGTGTCGGAAATAAGAATTTGAATCGCAGAAAAAACATAGTTGAACAAATATTCTTGTTTCAATGGCAGTGTGTAAAATGGAACGTAGGAAAACACTGGCTAGTTGAAGTGCGTTCGGAAACTGTAACTTACACATACAGTAAACATATTGAAATAATAAAAAAAACTCTTTTTCCTGCGTTTCTATTACCACGTTGATTATTGTAATAAACTTATAATGAGGGCTACCGTTTTCTGCCTCACCAGATGGCGCCACTGTTGAGTGAGGTCCTAAATTGTAACTTTTAAAGTTTATTAATACGCACATGAAATCAAAGGTTACATTTAGATCGTATTTAAACACAAAAGAACCATATCCTAAACATAATAGGCCATGCCACAGTGACGCGCAGTTCCGTTTTATTCGGAAAAAATGGGAACATAATCATTTTTCTAAGCTCAAATTTTTAATAACTGACATTCATTGCCACATAACTCATATTTGCCATAATTAAGCCGAATTGTTACCAATTATTCACAACATTATTTTATTTAGAAATAAACCCGCGTAGTCAACCAACAAGCAATAACATTTGACATTTCGGAGACCTCACGCTACACTAGCGCCTCTAGCGGCGGATTCATACGCGATAGCCCTCATTGTGACATAACTGTAAAAGTTGGGCGTATGGTATTGCGGACTTTATTTTTTCTCATTCTGATGCCCTGTATAAAACTTGAGCACATCACTTTGTTCTATTGTCAATGAATTTTTTACACACATTGCATTGGGATACATTATCCAAGTTTTCATACGGATTCCTAACTATTATTGTAAATACTCTATAGCCTGTGTGCATCAGGGATAATGTAGGATTCTAAACGTGAAAGAATTTTTCACATCGGTCCAGCGGTGCTATTCGGTAGGAATAAAAACACTTCACCGCAGAAATCGCCGATGTTATTTGAAATTTATGTTCTAATATTAAATCACACATCGGATACCGAAGTGAAAAATGACTTTGTTAATCTATATATATATAAAACTCAAAGGTGACCGACTGACATAGTGATCTATCAACGCATAGCCCAAACCACTGGACCGATCGGGCTGAAATTTGGCATGCAAGTAGATGTTATGACGTAGGCATCCGCTAAGAAAGGATTTTGATCAATTCTACCCCCAAGGGGATAAAATAGGGAATGAAAGCTTGTATGAAACTTTGTCAATTTTAAACTAATCAGGCTGAGACTTTGCATGCAGGTATGAGAAGAATCATAGATGAATGTCATTGTGTATAATACAAGCCTGAGAACAAACACTTCAGCTCTACACCGAAGCGAAGCGAGGGCGGGCCGCCAGTATAGAATAACACTGCTGTAGTTTCTGAGCCTATTGAATACAAACAAACAGTCAAATCTTTCCTCTTTGTAATATTAGTATAGGTTACTGTACTGTATACTATATAAACTTAGCACATACAATGAGGTGCCCTCATATGCGGTCCCCAGTGGGGGTGCTCCACGCTACACATGTACCTCGATCACATGCAGACACTCCTCAACTACCATATAATGCGATTCAACTAAGAATAAGATCAACTGGGCGCCATATTTTGACGTCATAGCTGTCAATTCAAACAAAATAGGTAGAGTGAGCAAAAAAATGTTGCTATTTAATGAAACTTCTTTACTAAAATTAAGTGAGACAAAACATCAGATTTTTTAATAAAATTAATTTACTAAGGTTGAGAAAGAACACAATCGATTTTTAATAGTATTTCTTTATTAAGACTGTGTGAAAAAAAACATTAATAAGAATCTAGCTCTTCAATTTCGCTCAACTCTGCATTACCGCCGGAGAAGTTATGAATAATCATGCAGGTCACATACGAACATGCATCCTATATGTTAAACGAAAGTTTTAAATCGAGTTTTTGAATGCAACATAAAGTGACATTTGGTTGACGATTTAGGTTATCAATCATTCATAGCCAATCCATAGCTAAATAAATGAAAAAAAAGCAACTAATATTAATTAACAACATTAAATTTGTTATTGTTTGTTTAAAAATGTTTGGTTTTTATTCTAGAATCAGCCGAGTACTAAAAAAGTGTTCCGAGTTTTTTTTGCAAACCGTACTTTGCAGGCGACATTTGACAGATGGAGGTCATTGGCTTTCCTATTCTTATTTGAATCGCATTATAGTTGTAAAGCAAAACTCGACAGAGGTACGTTCCATACCTACGCTTAGAATAGGGAAGATGCACATATAATATTTATGAAAATTTTATGATTAAAATGTTAAAAAAATATAAAAGAAATGCTACTGCAACGTTTTTATTTTACATAATGTTGTTTTTTAACAATTATTACGAATTAAAAATACTTGAAACGGAACGTATTTTAAAACACCAATCAGCGTTTAGTGACGTCTCTCCTGTTATGACAACTTCTTTGAGGTATGGTTGTTAAAGTAAATATTATTTTATGGGAATATTTATTGCGTTTTTTACATTTAATAAAAATGGAAGTTGCGTTTATCAAAGCAGACTCCAGGAATTTACCAAGAGTTAGCGTTGACATGGTTATAACTTTTTTTGTCCAAAATGCAGAGTTTTTAAGTGTAGAAATGAAAGGGACTAAATTACTACGGTATGCAAAAATCGTAGTTGTTAAACTTCGTATTTTATTCAGCGGCTTCTACAAATCTTACGGCGATAATGCAATCGGCTATGTCCAAATTAAAAGAGATGGAAAATTATGTACAGTAAAAGGTCGAGTTCTCCGGAGCATAAAATACGTAAAAAAGGTTATCGTGTTACAGTTATTTTAAATGAAACGCAAAGCTTGGTTCAGTCCTGCCAATGTGAAGACTGTGCCACACATTTTAAACTTTATCTAATTTTCGACGTCATTCTCCAACTGTAAAATTAAAAATATGTTATAGACAGGTTTTGTAAGTATTAGGTAGGTGACTAATGCGTTTTTACGCACAAGCAGATTAATTAAGCATATAACAAGTATATTCGCCAACTTACGTCAAAGTGATCTTCTCAGCATCGATTAATGGTCTTTGGAGAATAATTGTCATTTCTCTTCGCAGCTTGAAACCACTTTTTTCAGTTTTGGGTCAGAAGTTCCAGTCAAAAACAATTTATTTGGGAACTTTGTTGAAGTAGATTGGCACAAAACATGAGTCAACACGGCTTTTTTTCGGAATATTAGTGGTATTGTTATGATCACATGATGTTGATGGATAGTCCATTTTAAATTTTTCAAAAAAATATTTCGAAAGTCGGAAAAAATATGCAAAAGTATGAAAATTTAAAGCCAGCAACGAACAATAACGACCAGTGACAGACAGGAGTGACGTCATCGCAACCATAGGTTCGTTTTCGCGCGAAAATTTAAATTGTCAATTTAAAACCGCATTTTATCCGATAAATCACAATGTTTTAATTTTTTAATATATCTGTGTTTTATTCTACATGGAATTCTTTAAAATTAAAACAAAAATAAAAATATTGCATCTTCCCTATGTGACATTAAAATTTTCACACAAAATATATGAAACTTGTTTCAAATTTACCATTAGTTGTTGCGCTAGGATATAATCCTAAGGTCCTTGTACTTGCGCAATGGCCTTTCACAGCATTCATCAGAGTAAAATACAATAGAAAGCTCCACCGGACCAGGCGCGGTCGCAGCCTGAAATTTTGGAGGGGGCACTCACTACACTAATAAAAAATACTTAGGTATCTGGAATAAAATAAACATTATTCCACAAGCCACTTTTTGACACAAAATTTTTCAATTTGACCTTAGATTTTGGGGGGGCAGGGGACCCCCCTTCGGACCGCGCCTGCACCAGACTAACCTAGACAAGTTACATATACCACACATTGGCAAAATCTCGATGGAGCCATCATTAATGTAAATATGTGATACAGCCCAGATAAGTGCAAAAGAGTCAAAACAATCAGGCGTATTCTCTTTACGGAAAGTTGGTAATTTCATGCGAGTGTAACTCAATCCATTCTCTATGTCTATTGCGACTGCAAATCTGACATAACAGAGATGAAATAATTACAATTTAAGTAGTTTGACGATGTCTTCGATAGAATATAATATCGCGGATGAAACCGCGACATTGCATGTCCCGAAAACATTGATAACTGTATTTGTAAGTTAGGTGAGAGCAGCCCCAACAAAGAGAGAATATAAACAATGTAGCTTAAATGGCTGTTAAATGTCTTAATTCACTTCATAAAAACTAGAGTCCGACCGGTTTCGGCCGAAACCGAAACTCACGTGGTCAAGATTAAAATTCCTTAAATACTTAAATTTAGTGCATTTTACCCATTATTCAGCATTAATTAGGACATGAAATGGAAACACAGTACCTATATTAATTTTGTTGTAGGTAATCATTTATTAAATATAATATAAAAAAATATTTTTATTATTTTTTTCAAATTAAGTTGTCATAGCAAAATTTTTATCAATAATCAATTCACAAATTGTTACTGTTACTTTTAATACCCATTGGTATTTTGATATCTTATTAATTAATACTTTGGTTTGTATTTGTACTTAGAAGAATCATCAATCTCTTTTATCTCAATATAGGAAACTGCACTTGTCAATATAGGATATGGACTGCTGTGCGAGAAAAGAAGGAACGCGAGCGTGCACGACAACTTCTGAAATCAGTTGCGGTTTCGGCAAATTTTGGCCGAAACCGAAACTGCCGCCGAAACTTAATTTTTGGCCGAAATTCGGCCGAAACCGAAACCGAACTTTCGGTCGAACACTAAAAAAACCACATCAAAATAACTCATATTGTATTAAATAAAACTAGTTTTTACGGGTTAATGCACGAAAATTTATTTATTTATTGACATGAATAAATAAAGTTTCGTGCGTGGCGTGAAAATCTAAGAAACAAATATCATATTGTATTCCTTCAATAAATATCAGTATCTCTTAGCACACCATAAAATGAGCAGGAGAATTCATCAACTATATCTTTGTGGTTCTATTGATGAGTTGGAATTGCTGACTTGATCTTCATTATAGTAATAACTTATGCACGGTATACTATGCTGTGATGACGTCATACACTGGTGCCGATTCTGGCATGATTCCTCTAAACTTAAACTTAAATTTGAGAACCCTGTCATTCTCTAAACAGATTGAAAAGGAGAAACTTATGTTAAATATAGTTTTAGGTTTAGAGAATCATGTCAGAATCGACGCCACTATGATATAATCTATAACAATTAGGGATGAAACGATACCATCTAGATATGGATACTTTTACTCGATACTGTATCGGTGATAAAGTATCGATGCCTACTCGGTATCGAATGAAAAGTATCCATACTTACTTGTATCGGTAAATTTTGACGAACGATATTACAATTACAAATTCAGACACAGTTTTGATTTAAGGAAAACAAAATTGCGGCTCATACCACATGATAAACGAATGACTTACTGAATAAATATAAATCATACGCAAGGCTGGCAAATGAGCAGTAGAAAAGATGTGTTCGCGAAACAAAAACTTAAACTAGACACCTTACCATAGAGTAAATAATCTGCCTGTCGAGTTTTTTCATACTTCTCAGTAAGTGAACGACCGAGTACCGATACAAGTACTTCACGATACTACTTGTTACTCAGTTCTAAAGTATCGATGCCAAAAGTACTTGGTATCGAAAGAAAAGTATCGAGTAGTTACTTGTATTTACTCGTATCGTTTCATCCCTAATAACAATAAGGGGGCGGGCTCTACTTCGATTGATGCGACGCCACGTGGCATTATACAAAAACACCATTATGCCTATATTGTAATAATATAAAAAAAACACGAAAATTTAAAATAATGTTAACGAAAATAGTGGTTACTTGGTAATTAATATACATACAAAACATAAAAAGTAATATTATTTTTCAATATTGAAATGTATTCTCACCACATATATCTCAGTTTCGAATATAATTTACAGTCAGGTTGATGTAATAAATTTCGACTTTAAGTTCGAATAAAGTCATTGACTACTATATATATGTATATATATATATATAGACAATGTATGACAATATATATACATCTTGCTGATCATGTTGCGTCTTATATGGCGATTTTTGCTATTGATCCTGCGTCCGACCGACTTGATGCGTCCGGTATACGGACGCAAGATTAACCTAGCCTCATTTTTGGTGCAAAGACGTCTTTTCATGCATAGAATGCATGGGCAAAAATTTGGCGTGGACTCAATTTCATCACCAGAATGCTTTTTAACGTATTTCATAGTGCAACCATTGACCGTGCGGAATTTGGAGGGCGCTACCGTGCAGTGTATATTTTGCAATGTATATTTCGGGTTCAATTTACAGATTTTATTGCGTCTTCCTATATATATTTAAAAAAGTTTTTATCAATTCTCTACGATGATTATCTTGCATCCAGTAGGCATCTTAATTTGCGAGATCGCGCGACACCTGAGGGGCCCGTTTTGGGTGCATGGGAGAGACGAAACTGGGCGTCCTACGGATCGCGTGTGTTTGTATACAGATCCGTGCTCCGTGGACGCAAACTTATTACCGGAGTGAAATTTATCGTATTATTTGATAGAAGTAAATAAACGTAAAACAATGAAGAGATTTTTTTTATTTTAGCAAATTTGATATTTTATACCATTGATAACTATTAGGATATTTTTGTTTTGTTTCCGTTTTCGATTTTTTATAATGTAGATACATAATGAACCTACACGATGATATTAATGATCGAGAGAACTTTAACAACGTTAATTATTAGCCCCTATTTTATTAAGAATGTGGTTCATTTGTTATTTTGTGGTAATGTACCTACCTACAGAGAATTCTTGTGAGAACTGTTGGTTAAATTGTTAAGTATACAGTATTGTTCAGCCTTTGTTATGGTATTTATAATTTCACATCTAGAAAACTTGTTAAATATGTCACTGAAGTTAACTCAAGCTTATTTCTATGCACCATTTGCTAATTTGTATCATTGATTTTTTTTTGATATCCCAATTAACCTTACCTCTTCACTATCACTTAGTATGTATACACGTATTCACCTTCCCTATAACTTATACAAATTCAAAATTCGAATTGAATATCAACGCAACCGTGCCCCCCACCAACACGACAAGACGAGCCAAGCAAAGTGCAAGGGCTCCACGTAACTTTTCCCGAAGGGCTTCGTCATTTTAGTGGACGTTTATAAGTAGGGTTTGGATTATCCACATAAAAAAATCTCGAGTTATATAAGTAACGGTGAAGTCCAGACCCGATAGCTGATACAGCAGTTCACCTGTTACTTCTTCACGCCTCTTTTAAGGGATCCCAGGTTGTAAGAGGGAGGGAATACGTGAGCGGTCAGCGCATTCCATCTATGGATAGTGCAACAAAAAAATGAGTCAACAAATTTCTTTGTACGCGTTGGAATTGTGGCCACAGTTAGTCGGTGACAACGTAGGTCAGCGCGCGAGGTCCAATGAAGGAAAGAGGAAGGTGGGATAAGAGAGAATAACTCCTCAGAACACTCGCCGTGGTACAGACGATAGACGGTGCTTAGTGACGCCACGTCACGGCGTAATTGTAGAGGCTCTAGGTGTTTAGTCACCTCTTCATCGCCTATAATGCGGATCGCGCGCCGCTGTAACCCATCCAAGGTATCGAACAAGTACTTGGTAGAGTCATCCCAGAGTTGCGAGCAAATTTCCATGCAAGACCGCACCTGCTCCTTATACAACAAGCACAGTTAAATTGCTCGGGCGTGAAAAAACGCCGAAAAAAACCTTGAAATAAACCTTGTTCAGGTCTCCGAGACATGAAAGGAATGGCAACGTTATTGCCGTGAAATCGCAGACCTGGGTTTTATTAGCATTGAACTCAACCAAACCTATTCAGAAATATGGTCCAAAGCCTGATTGAATTCAATGACAAAATTCTCCCGTTTCTCCTTGGTTACCGCCTGCCCAGCCGCTGCTTGTCCGAGATACCCCGCATGCACTGTACTATCGTATGCATCGCAATGAATATTCAAAAAGGAATTTTAGTCATTGATATGCAGCAGAAAGATAGTGGGGGATAGGACGGAGCCCTGAGGAACGCCGTCATTCACTGACATGAACCGCGAACTGTTACCATTCGTAAGGACACGAATTCTACGTTCATGCAGGAGCTACCCAAGAACAGAACTGTGCCGGCAGACCGTATGCCGGAAGCTTGGAGAGAATGCTTTTGTGCTAGACCCTCACGAACGCCTTGGCAATGTCAAGGCTGATAGCCAACGACTTGCCCCGCTTGTCGATAGCCTCACCCCAGATATGAGTCAAGTACGCTAGAAGATCACACGTCGATAGTTTGGGTCTAAAACCATATTGAAGATCATTAATCAAGGATTCATCCTCTAGGTAGTGAGTCAGATGGTTGTTAAGAACCTTTTCTAGGACTTTATATAATACTGGGGTGACTGCTATTGGCCGGTAGTTTACCGGGTCTGAGGGATCCCCTTTTTTGGGCACCGGTTGCACGTTGGCATCTCTCCAAGTCTCCGGCACACGGCCCAAAGAATACGAGTATTGGTACAAGCGCGTGAGAGCCGAAGACAACTCCGCTGCACATTTTTTTGGTACTACTAATATGATGCCATCAGGTCCACCAGCTTTCCGGATGTCGAGTGATTGCAATTCGACACGAACCTCACGCTGCCTGATTTTAATATCAGGCATCGTTGTGCCACAATGAGGTAATGATGGTGGCAGTGCATTGCAAATATCGATTCTGGAGTTAGCCGCAAAGAGTTTTGCCAGTAAATCGCCTTTCTCCCGTGGCTTATGAGCTAGTGTTCCGTCAGGGCATCTCAGAGGTGGCAGCGAGAGCTGGCAGATGTTCTTTTGCACGGCCTTGGCCAAACGCCAATAGCTACGGGAGCCCGAAGGATGCGTTATAAGTTCGTGACCAACACGTGTAACGCGCTGGGCATCCGCTGTAATCCTTCTTATAGGCTGCTTTTAGTGAATCGACCCCAGGATCCTTAAGAGCGCGGCCTCAGATCCAAGCACGATATGCCGCTTGCTTACGCGAAACAGCTTCAGCACAGTGGTGATTGAACGAGAGGTTACGTGTGTCCCTACTGATGAGATTGGAATGAGGAATATAGTATTGCATTACCATTACAATCTCCTTAGAATAACAACGGCGCTGGCCGATAGGTTCTTGTCACTGAAGCAGCGCTGCTTCCAAGGGACGGACGCAAAGTTGTCACGCATACCGTTCGAATCTGCCGACCCATAGTGACAGATCCGGCATTGTACCACCGTTGGACGCACAGGCTTGGCCTGTGGCGCTTTGGTAGATAACGGGCAGTGATTCGAAGAGCCCAGAGACCGCTTACCACAACCTGACAGCTCTGTGGATGGGTCGTGAGCAGAAGGTCCAGTAATAAAGGTGCTTGACTTGAAATATCTGGAATCCTGGTGGGCTGATCGACCAGTTGCTTCAAGTCATGCGTGAGCAGAGTCATGCATGGTTGGTTTTCGAGGAACTTAACCACAACTTAAAATTGTGGTAAGCATTAAATTCCCCCAAAAACACCAATTCTGTTTTGGGAAATTGTTCTTGCGCGTCATCTGCTGCCCGACTAAGGTGTTCGAAAAGTCGTGTTGTCTCAACATCGCGAGTATGGGATCTGTAGAGGCACACGTAGAATTTGGCCTGGGGACCAGAGTCGACGTGTACCACCAGCATAAAGTAGGAGTGATCTTCCAAGCAG